AATTTTTCCACGAGTAGTTGTAAATTGGCTGCGTCCACGGGAGGAGGTGAGTTCAGAGTCTGCCTACGCCGCCATCTTGACTCCGCCCCCCTGGAACTAACTTCTATGTAAAGAAGTGTTATCTCTAAGATTTTTGGCTGATGTATAATGCAGCCACACACATTTATGGAGACATTCCAAAAATATCCTCAAAAAGTGATTAGTTTGTCCTAACACTTGTGAAATAATTTCTTTAGAATTTAATACTCTACCATTTTGGTTTCCTTTAAGTATATATTTATTTACCATTTATAAGTTCCCCTTTTATAGTTTAAACTCAATTAACTACAGTTAAATTTAGAGAAGACATTAGTAAAGATTTAAATTCTGTAGAGTTGGCCACTTTAAGTGTCTAAAGGATGACAAACAAATTCACTTTGATTTCTACATTCCAACAGCCAGTATTGGTTGAAGTATGCTGTCCTCTCTCAAGAGTTAAACAAGAAGTCTTAGATGCAGCAGCCAGTTTTTCTGTGACCTGCAGATTTAGAACTAAGGCTTTGTGCTAACTGGATACTATCTCAAATATATGGTGCAAGCCAGATCTTCTGGAATTGAAAATCAGTTCAAAATTAAATTATGCATAATTATTAAAAAGAGATCTATTTGCTGATTACATTGATTAATAGCATTATTACAAATAATCATAATGCCATATATAGACAGGATGCAACTACATTGCAGTCACTGCCTTTTCATCATTTGTGTTATGAAACAGGGAGGTGAGGGTTAATAAAGACTACGTTAGGGAAGTTGATTTTTACATATCCTAATTATTAAGAACTTTGATTTTTATATATTTTATCTGAGAAGTTATCAGAAAAAATGAACCCAACCATATTTTTCAATCATATAGCTTATTCTTGCAAAAATAAAGTGTAAATAAAATGACCGAAACTCCATATATCTTAGAATACGTTTTAATGAGTGATATATCTAGCTTCTTTCTATTCCTTGACTCAATTTAGAGAAGAGATTCCCTACCGAACACAGAGAAGGAGAACTGGACCATGGTGACCGGGATCATTCTTACAGGGATATCAATCACCAGAGCCCTTGGGGGCCTCCTGTTCTTGATTTTTTTACTGACCTACTTGGTGACAGTCCTTGGAAACACACTCATCATTACCCTGATTCTTGTGGATTACAGGCTCCAGTCACCCATGTATTTCTTCCTCAGCAACCTCTCTTTCAGTGAAATATTAACCACAACTTGTGCTGTTCCTACAATTCTGGCAGGTTTCCTGTTAGGAAAGAAGAGCATCTCAATTGGTGGATGCTTTGCCCAGATGTATTGCTACTTCCTTTCAGGATGCTCTGAATTTCTCCTTTTTGCCATCATGTCCTACGGCTGTTATGTGGCCATTTGCAGCCCCCTTCAGTACCCTGTGATTATGACCAGCTCACTCTGTGTCTGTCTTGTCATCTTTTCCTAGGTGGGCAGCTTTCTCCTCATCCTCCCACCCACTGTCCTTAAGGTAGGACTGCCATACTGTGGCCCCAATGTGATCATTTTTTGATCACTTTTGATCAAAAATTGATCATTTTCATCACTTTTGATCAAAAATTGATCATTTTTTCTGTGACAGTGCCCCTCTCCTCCACTTGGCCTGTGCTGACATCCGTGTCATTGAGCGGCTGGACTTCCTCAGCTCCCTTGTCCTGCTCATCAGCTCCCTCTCCCTCACAGTGGTCCCCTACGTCTACATCCTCTCCACCATTCTGAAGATACCCTCAGGCCAAGGTCAATGCAAAGCCTTTGCCACATGTGCCTCTCACTTCACTGTGGTCTCTATGGGCTACAGGATTTCCATCTTTGTCTATGCCTGCCCCTCACAGAAGAGTAGCCTGCATCTCAATAAGACCCGCTTTGTGCTCTCCAGTGTCATCACACCACTCCTGAATCCCTTCATCTTCAGTCTATGGAATGAATCCATGAAAGATGCACTGAAGGACACCTTGCCCAAGGGCCAGAACTGCCTGAAGGGGATCAGATCCACGTGACAGGATCTTTGAGAATGACCACAAACCTGAGCATTTTTAGCCTTGCAGAGAATGAATTCAATATAGCAATTGATGCCACAAAAGGGGGAATGGCTCTGTTATGTCTAGTATTATTTACACTCATAATAACACAGCTAAACAGGATTAATCTACAATTTATTTTTTCAAGATGGCTAAATAAGCATAAAACAAATAATTTAATAGTTGTGACAGTGACACTTGTAGTACTACAAGTAGTACTACACCAAGATGTCGTGGTGTTGGTGCTGTTATTAAGGATGGTCAAATCAATAACGATCGAAGAAAAAAGAAGGCCTCTATTGTGTATATTACTTTGTTGAGCTTATATATTCTAAATTCAGAGAAAAGAACCACTGAGCTCTCTGGTCCTGTAGGAAGGACACTCATACACACACACACACACAGACACACACACACACGCAGAAATATAATTAAAGAATAACTTGAGGTATTTAAACTTCAATAGTAACCTTGTATAAACTAACATTACAAACATTGTCTTTTTATTATAAATTTTACTTATATTTATGTATTGTACTTTTCCATAGAGTTTTCTCTTTATCATTTGGATTTTTTTTCTATGTCAGTTCAGGCATTGTCTTCTTTATGAAGTAATTATTCTCTTCCAGTTAGGAAGGAAGACTTCCTTCATCAATGAACATGGCATATATCCATACTATAAATTTCACTACTTTAGAGATGTAAGAGATAATGTGAAATATTTGACTTGATAAAATCAAATAAACCATCATTCCTTGTACTGTAGCCCTTTTAAAATTTTATTATACTTTAACGTTAGTTGTTTAGTTGTTATCTTTTCCAATCAAAATGTTATGTCCATGCCAGGGAAAACATTGCCTTTCTGCTAAAAAAATTTAAAACTAGAACTAGACAAGAACTCAACACAGAAGCAACTGGAGTCTAGATTTTTTTTTCGTCTTTTGTCTCTGTTTTCTCTTTGCATAAGACCTTCTTCACAAACCTGGCACACTGACTTTGCTCACGTGTGGGCAAGATGGTCAAATTCAGTTCCTGAATTTTATATTTGCATAGATCAATGGAGAGAGGTTGACCCAATTCAAGTTTGAAATATTCCAGCTATGCCATTTTATTTTCTGGCTTTAGCCATCTGCCTTCACAGCATCAATCAAATGCAGCCAGTATTTTTATGTCATGACAAGTGTCTGTGCACTTTTGGAAGGAACTAAATATCAGGAGAAGAGGTTTATGCACAGTGAAGAAAATAGATAAGCACTAAAGAAATTTCTTAGTTGCCTTCTCTATCCTTCTTCACATATAATTAAATCCTACACTGATTTAATTAATGGTATAATGCATATACAGCCATACATTTCATCTAACCTTTGCACAATAGATAAGGTGGGCATTTAATCCATGGCCAATTTTGGGCTCCTTTTGAAAATAAAATGGAAGTGGGGGAGAAGTCAAGATGGTGGCATAGGCAGGCTCTGAACTCACCTCCTCCCATGGACAGAGCCAATTTACAACTACTCTTGGAAAAATTACCCCTGAGAGAGAACTGAAAAGTGAATAAGAGGACCTCCTGTAACAAATGACAATCCTAATTGAGGTGGAAGAGGCAGAAATTCCCTTCTGGAGAGGAAAAACACCACTTTCACAAGCCGCAGCACTTCATGGCCGCCCGGGGGCAGCCCAAAGGTATGCAGCCCTCCCTGGAGGAGGAGGGTCCTGGCCAGGGAACGCCCCCACTGTAGGCATTTTTTGGACCCAGCACAATTGAGAAGAGTGGCGTAATATCTGACTTTGCGTGATACTAAATCATTGGGGAGTATCCCTGGAAAAACTGGTTCACGAAGAAATTAAAACTGGCTCTTAAAAGGCCCACACACAAACTCACTCATTTCAGAAAGCAACCTAAAATCAGCAGAAAGAAAGGTGCACAGCCCTTTGGGGAAAAGAGACTCACCTGATAGACTGTGAGTGCATCTCGGTGAGACCTGAGACCTCTCCAGGGACTGGGACATTGGCGGTGGCCATTGTGGTGGCCTGATGTGGGTGTGCTGACACGGGACGCTGGAAGACAGCATTGGAGTTCTCCCTGGGGCCTAGTGCTAGCCCAGGGTCTGCCCCACCCACTAGAGCACCGATTTAATCCAGCTCAGCCAGGGCAAGCAGCCCACACTAGGGACTGGACCCACCCAACAACAAGCCCTCAGGCAACTTGTGGGCCTGCTAAGGGAGCTGCCTGGATTCTCCACAGCCTGGTGACTGGGTCTGCCTCTGTAGGGCAGGGTGTATGCAAGGAGTGGGTGGAGAGTGTGCGGCTCCTGCCTTGGAGAGACTGGGTACACTTCAGGAGGTTGGGGCACGTGCAGGGGACAGGACTGTGTTGACTGTGGGTGTGGACCTGTAGGCGGTGGGGCTTGTCAACTGCAGAAGTCTTGTGCTTCTCAAAGAGTGACATGGGGGTTGGTCCCACCTTCCAGAGCCTGAAACAATTGGGTGCTCCCGTGCCTGAGGCCAGTCCCACCAGGCTGCAATCCTCAGAGAGTTGACAAGGGACCTCAAGGCTAGAGGCTTATAGCAACTGTAAGCCCTTGAGCCTAACAACTTGCCACATTGGGGGCCTACTCACTTAATAGAAATAGAGCAACAGGAATGTGATACTAGACATTGCAGCCAACTGTGCTGGGACACCCCACACCCAATAAAGAGACTGAAGGGTCCACAACAACTACCCACAGCGGAGCATTACAACGGCTGGCCAGGGGCATAGCTCAGCCTCCCTGGGCATCTACAGGAAGAACAACTGCACCACAACAGAAGGACACACATAGCCCACACAGGGATCACTCCTGGAACATTTGCAACTGGAGAGGAGAGGGAAGCACACTGTCAGGCCTCCTAAGGCATCACTTATATAAGGTCACGTCTCCAAGAACAGGAGATGTAGCTGACCTACCTAATACATAGACACAAGCACAGGGAAAGAGGCAAAATGAGGAGGCAAAGGAATACATCCCAAGTAAGGGAACAGGACAAAACCCCAGAAAATGAACTAAGTGAAACAGAAATGAGCAACCTACTCGACAGAGAGTTCAAAGAGTGTTAAGGATGCTCACAGATCTTGGTAGAAGAATGGATGAACTCAGAATGTCAACAAAGAAATGGAAGATATAAAAAAGAACCAATCAGGAATGAAGAATACAATATTGGAAATGAAAAAGACAATAGAGGAACTCAAAAGCAGAGTAGAGGATACAGAAGAACAGATCTGTGAGCTGGATGAAAGACTAGAAGAAATCACCCAAGCTGAAGAGATAAAAGAAAAAAGAATTAAAAAGAGTGAAGACAGTCTAAGGGACCTCTGGGACAACATCAAGCACACTAACATCCATGTTATAGATGTCCCAGAAGGAGAAGAGCGAGACAAGGGGTCAGAGAATCTATTTCAAGAAATAATAGCTGAAATCTTCCCTAACCTAAGGAAGGAAACAGACATCCAGGTACAGGCAGCACAGAGAGCACCAAACAAGATAAACCCAAAGAGGCCCACACCAAGA